AAAAGAAAGAAAAAAAGCAGTTAAAAAAGAAAACAAATTGGAAAAGAATGGGAAGAAACAATTAGAAAAAAAAGAAGAAGAAGAATTTCAGTTAAAAATGAGATAAAAATCATAGAGAGAGCAAATTAGGTTTGAACAAATAGAATACAAAATTGATGTCACTAAAGATATTAGCTTCCACCTTCAAGGAAAAAGAATGATAAGCTATTCTTCATTAAAAGCGTGCTGAAAACTTTAAAATGCCAAGAGAGCACTGACAATACTTTTACAGAAGCGTCTTAATTGTAAAGCTCGTAAATCTTACACAACTACTATTGAACAAACTCAAATAGATAAGGTAAAAGATTATTTGAAAGTTGATATTAGTACCAAGGCTTACAAGCAAAAATCAGAAATTCTAAGAAAGAAATTGGTCAAACCCACGATATTGCAGAGAAAGAAACCAACTTTATCGTGGTGTTATCTAAGAAAATTAATAAAAATCATGAAAATCTCAGACAGCTCATGTGTTGAAGAGTTTAAATTTTTTCACTTGCATGTTTAAATCTTCTTAATGAAACATAGAACTTTATAAGAAGCTGCCCGTCTAGCTGATGATATTCTTTACCCACAAGTCTCATTAAAAATAAAGTAATGTCCAACCCTGACATAATCCAATCATTCGTAATTTATCTGGCACATCTAGTAGTCAATATCCCAACCAAATCATCTGATGAACATAAAGTCATAGTCCCTTATCTCATCTTACATGCAATTGCAAGAAACTGGACATCTTATCTCGGAGCTACCTTAAAATAGCAACAGCAACGTTATGAGCCAAAAAATATGAAAAAACAATATCAACAAGGAAAGCCGGCGTTCAATGAACGCAACCCCATATACCAATCAACAAGAACCAATGCAAGGAGCCATTGACCACCAAACATAAAAAGACAGCCAAACGACACGTAATCATTAAATGATAAATATTTGTAACTGATTAGAATTCAAAGAAATACATAATAGGCCCACAAAGGACAGGAACCGAATGCGTTAATCAAAGAAATAAAAACTAGATGGCAATGGGAAATACTTACCGTATAGACGAAAAAGCAACAATACACAAGAAGTGTCACCAAACATATGAAACAACAAGACTACATGCTGACGACACATGGGCGCTTGAACGCAGCAGAAAAATGACTCTGGAGTGCTAAAACCGGTTATATGGTCACCAAACCTCGCTCTCCCCACTAGTCCTATAAACGAGACAGTGAAATAATATGAATACCCCGCTCAAGGTGAATATTCAACATTGTCATGTTACAAAAGTTCAATAAGGTTAAAAACCTAAAATATCAGTATAACATATAAAAGTAAACCCAACATAACAATAATATTCAATGTACCTAAAGGCAAAGACAGAGCAACAAGAATCACCTACAAGGCCCGCAAGCACAGAGACGAAACATTAAGACCAATTCATCCCCAAGGCTTACGAACATCCATCATAGAGTCTCCCAACTTGGTTCGTCAGATGCAATCAAAAGTGAAAGCGTAGGTCCAACTTGTAAAAAAGTTTTGACACTAAACTGCAATAGTCAAAATGATATCATAACCTCTTTAATAAAAAACGTTTAATGATTTTATAAAAAACACAGCAGAATAATAATACAGACAAACTACAGTTCTACACTCAATCTAACCTCAGTCTGTATGGTTAACAATGCAATTTTGAAATCATATAACCCAAGTCTATTCTATTAATGAGATTTATGAACCATTCCTTTCGATGTTCGGTGTCACTATCTATACTTCCCACCTACTCCTTAAAATTTTAAGAACCAGGAGCTTCTCAATCTCTATATTTCAATACAACTGCCTTTTCTGAAAACTCTTCGATCTATTCCTTATTCGGAATAGAGTGGTTTTTCTAATGTCCCTCTTCATAATATTGTATTTGTCCTCAGATTGTAACTGGGCCGTTGCTTGTAGGTATAATACGTTTCTTACAATTTAAAGGTTCATTTATTAGCTAGGTAGACTTAACTGGATAAAGTAGTGTAAAATCCACTTGAACTGACACTACTTGTGTGGATCAGACACCTATCCCTACTTGGCAGAAATTTCTGACATTACCCCTCATGTGCACTTTACTCACTTATGGCTAAACCATTCAAGAGACAATTATGTCAGATATTTGACTGATACTGTTATAGGTCAGCTTTTTGATAATAATAATTTATTCTTCACTTCTACTCCCTGAACCAGACAGATTTTCAATATCTACTTTCTACACCAATCATCTAAATCAATCAACACCTGTCAAGGACACAGCTTATCCAGGAACACAAAATATCCCTGAGATTTCAGTCCTTTTTGAATTTCAAAGGCCTTTATGAAATAAGCTTTACAATTCCCTGTTATAATTGAAAAGAATGGATTTTAATTAGGAAATGGCGAGCGCCATTATCCTGCTGAAGAAGAGTGGACTGCTTAATCACCAAATTTTTCCCATAAAATCATATCTCAGAAATATTAAACTTGCGCTCATGACCACCCAAGCAGGTCATTATGTGTGAAAAAACCTACCATAAAATTCTCATATCATTATTGGCCTGCCTTATAAGAAATGTATCTAGTACTGTAAATCTGTCATACTGTCAAGTTTGAAACCTAACCAACCAATACCTGAGCTCATACAGCCTATTCCTCAATTGAAACCTTTAAGTAGATATATTATTGACTGTGTAGGGTCCATTACCAAAAAGTAAATCAGGTTCTCAGTATTATTAACTATTATGTGTGCTTCTACGCGCTTCCCTGAAGCTATTCCTTTTAAAAATATAAAGCCAAAAAACTATGTCAAGGCTCTGGTGATATTTCACCATGTTGTTACCAAACCTAGTACAGCTATCAGGTCAAACTTTATGCTATTTATCCACAGTCATCACATGGGAATTACTCAAATATGTCTTCAGCCATCACCTGAAAGTAAGGCTTAGAAAGATTTCACACTCTGAAAAATATATAATTCATTATGTTTTGAACTGAAAAAAAGACTGGAAGGGCATCCATTCTTGTATTTGCTTAAGTAATTGTTCAGGAATCTCTTCCTCAGTCCTTTTGAATTTGTATCTCACACTTCCGAGACCCTTCAAACTTCTTAAAGAGAAATTCCTGTCTGAAAATGACATGTCTTAAATTTCAGGTATATGATTCAGATTTTCAAGTGTTGACTAATGCATGTGAATATCTATCTTAATTTAAAATCAACCAAAGAAAAATGAATCAAGTATATTGAGAAGCTCAGGAAAAGTTTAACTAGTATAGAACTTCTCTTTTACCTATACCTGGGAAAACAATTACAGGCAAGATTATACTTGGTCCTTTATACTATTAAAAAATGTCAACCTAAATTATATTATCATATACTTCTGGGAGGCAAAAGCAAAAACAAATGGGCCACATAATATAATATTAAAGAATATTTTGACAGAGATAGCACAATAGAAAACCTATATCTGTTGTAAAGTCTGTCCACAAAATCAATGTTAGTTGAATCTAATAGTTATGAAAGTTTTTGAAAAGGCTGATCCTGTTCAGCAAAGCTTGAAAATTCTGACATTCTGAAAAATCTGATGAAAAACTTGCTCACTTAGAACCGTCGAAACGAGTTGAACTAAAACAGCTTATTTATGAATAAGAACACTTATTTCCTGATATTCCCACACGGACTGATAAAATACACCATGACGTCATTCTTGAAAACTCTGAACCAATAAAAAACCATCCATATAGAACAAATCTTGTAAAACAAAAGTACCTTAGACAAGAAGTTCAGTATTTGTTGGATAATGACTTTATTGAACCAAGTCAAACCAGTTGCAGCTCTCCATGTATTCTTGTACCGAATCAAACGGAACATAAAAAATGTGTACAGATTATCGTAAAGTGAACTCCTATACCAAGAATTGATGACTGTATTGACAAAATTGAAAAAGCAAAGTATGTTACAAAGTTTGATCTTCTAAAAGGATTTTGGCAAGTTCCACTTACTGATAGAGCTAAAGAAATATCAGCTTTTGTAACACCAGACGGTTTGTATCAATATAAAGTCATGCCATTTGGTATGAAAAATTCACCAGCAACTTTTCAGAGGCTTATAAACATGGTAATATCTGACTTTAAGGATGTGACGCATACATTGATGACCAATCATACTTGAGTAAGAGAACATTTCAAAAATTAAAGAGCATTCGTTCAACCACTATATGCTAAAATGACCATTAATCTTTGCAAAACGTGAATTTTCATCAATGTTTAATATTTAGACATTAGTACAGGGATGGAATTTAAACCAATATAAAGCAGTCAAACATCTCTGAATTTCCTTGCCACTTGAAAGACAACGATGCGATTTCTTGATAGGCATTATTATCGTAAATTTTTAATAACTTCGGATGCAGAACCATTTACAATTTGCGAGGTCAAATATCCATTTAACATCTTAACCATACTTAAAGAGTGCCCATCTCTTTGCACGGATTTAATAAAACTTTATCTTATTCTGTAATCTAGGAATAGGCTGCTGGAAGGTATTATCCAAGACAAAACACAATTGGGGTGGAACCGTTTGTTACTTCTAAAAAGATAAAAACAGCAGAAAATACTCTACTATAGAATAAAGGCCTTCTGTATTCTGCTATCATGCTTTGATGTTTATCTACCGCTTCAAAGTCCGTTTTTCATTTAACCTTCACGCTGTATCATTATCAGCATTCTTTTAGATCAAAATTCACTATTCGATATCTAATTCATCGTTTTTGTGTTTGCTGATCTAACATGGAAGGTGCTTTATCCATGTAAACCCTATCCCTGTCAGATTTTTGTGAAGAAACACTACTTACTGATTCAGACCTAGATTTTTCATTCCTGTCTTTATCCACTTTGAATTCTGTCGCGAAACTTTGCGAATGAACTTTATCAGATTGCCTTTGTTCATGAATCTTGGCTCATGCCAATCGGAGTCTTTCTGGTTTCTGACACTGAGCCAGTATATCATCATAGTCTAATGTTGGATCATTCGAATCGGCACCTCTGCCTTGATCCTGTGCCTTTCCTTTTTTCGAATTTGCATGGCGAAAATGGAATAACCATTCACCAGGACTCATCTCCCGTTGCTTTTCACTATAGGCCGATGAGTCTTTAACATTTGACCTTGATCTATGAATTTCCTTGAAACTTGACCTTGAATATTCCTCATGATAAGAACTTCCACGTGGAAAACTCTTATCACTTTCTCTATGGTAAGTTACGCTCCAGGACTTGTTCCTTTTCTTGCTTCGGACGATTATCCATTTTCCCCAGTATGTGTTCTGCTAGGCCTTATAACGAGAACTCACTGTTCTCTGTCTTCTTTTGTAGCTATGTTTAAATGCAGCTGAACATGAACCTGAAATCACAGACAATAAATCTCTTAGTCTCTTTCACAACATTATCCAATACTGTGTCATCATCTCCTAAAGCCAATGATTATTTTTTACTTATTGAGTTTTATTCTCTGAAAAAAAAACAGAACTGTACAAAATGTAGTTTTTTCTTAAATATTTTGTATAAGGTCAGATATTTTATTTAACAATAGAGGCGTCCATTGATGAGTGGTTCATGTTGTAGACTTCAAACCACTTGCCACTCACTGTTGTGGGTTCCAAATAGGGACTTTGGATTCTTTCATGTGAAGAAGCTATCCGGCCAGGTTATTGAACGTTAGTGATTTTACTCAGGTGCCCGTTTGTGCCTGAAATAATACACTTGAAAGGTACACTCCTCAAAAAAGTGAAAGCCCCAAGCCTTACGTTTTGCATGTAAAACTCCATCCCTCATAACAAATTATTCAATGCTCAGTTAAAGCACTTAAGTTATCGTATAAGTAATGAAATAAATATGACTGTTAAAAATATTGATCTTCAAATTCTGTATAATTCTCTTAAAAACATAAATCACAAAATTTATAAAGAATATGTTCTACTCATAAATAAATGTTACAACTCCTGAGTGAGTATAACCTTTATGCTATTATAATAAATAAAACAGATAAATCTTTTTTTACGAATTTGAAATACTGGAGGATTCTTTCCCGATTATTTTTAATTATATATAAACCTAACATTGTTAACCTTTGCTCGTAAAATATCTTAAATTGACTTGTTTATCTTTTAATCTGGATTTTAAATTTGAGTAAAATTTCAAAATATGTTTGTTTGTTCGGTTTTATGATGCACAAATACAATTTATCCCGTCAGGGGCAAGTCGTTGTTTCCTTAAGCAAGAAACTTTACACTCATTGCTCAGTACTGGTTGGTTCCAGGAACGAATTCGAAAGTGTGTCTATAAGCTTATAGCTTCCTACACAATCGAACTAAAATAAATTCTGTATAAGCCAAATACAATTTAGGTCATATGGCGCTTCAACAAAAAAAAATAAAAAAGTAAATAAAAAAATAAAAAAAAATTTTGGATATCCTTGGGTGTTACAAACTTTTACTATTAATAACCTTGACCTTGAAGGTTGAACACCAGGGGTCAAAACCACCTCACCTGCTGGATAGAGTCCAGTAATTCAAATTCATTTAGTCATCTCTTACGATCACGCATGGATAAACGATGGCTACAATTCTGGTGCCTCAACCCTTAACGGCACCCCCCCCCCCCCCAGCCACAAGGGGAAAATATTACTGACTTAATAGAAAAGGAAACACTCCAGACCATTTTCAGACAGCAATAATAAGCTAGTGGCCACAATGATTTGCCTTTCCCAAACAACTTGTAACAAGTATGAATCCAACCCAAGCCCAGCGTGTATATGCACAAAATCTTACTTCACGCTACAATGATTTTTTCAATCAACTTAAGGAAATAAGGGTGAGGAAATGGGGTTTACATTGAATTCTTAGCTCTTCAATTTAAAATATGGAAATTCTGAGTGGAAATCCAAATGTATTCAGCATGTTTAGTGACTGAAAGATAAATACCGGAAATAAGTATTCCGGTTGAAATGATAATAACAGAATTTTATGTTTTTAAATTATTAGCCAAAAGTCCAATACCACACTCCAAAATGCAATAACTGGTATGTGATTTGCTGTAACCATTTATTCCTCTATTGTTATGCAAATCTCATAACAAAATGTCAATTACCATATGCCTCTGATACATATAACTGATATTTCAACAAAAAGCTGTTCTTACATAAATAAGATAAGATTGATTGTTTATAAAGAAGGAAATGTAAAAATATGGTATACCTGTCGTCTGCACTCCGGGATATTTCGGATGAGTGACTACTGGAAAAGTCCGAGGACCCTTGCCTCAGTCTACGTCTATCAAACTGAGCATCAGCATGGGCTTGTTTTTTGACAACATCTCGGTCACTGGTACTGAAAATATACAAAAGAAATTAACTATTATATCATAGTATAACATTATGTCTAACTAAAATCGAAAAGTTGATAATTTAATCATTATAAGCTAAAATTGAAATTACAACAAAGAATAAACTTGAAAAGTGTTTTTGTTAATGAAGAAACTATAGTATATAAGAAATTAAAAAAATGCAAAAAAGCAAGAACCGGTTGAACCGGGTGGTGCTCCCCGAATAGGTTTTGGACAAGTATACCTCTTGTAGTGTCAGAGTTATGTCCCGGAAAAAGGCTCATAGTGTGAAAATGAACAAAGGTCAATAACTCCAAAATAAGGCAAGGCAAAATTATGGTTCTTTTGCACTGCACATCTATCGAATGAGATATATCTACCTTTAACGTGTCTTGTTAATATGTATCATATTTTCAGAACTATGTCCTGGACAATAATCAAAGTGTTATAATGAAAAAAATGACATTAACTCCAAAATTAAGCAAGTCAGAGTTACTGTAATTTTGCACTGCACATCTATTTAATGAGATCTATCTACCTACAAAGTTTCTTGTTAAATAAAACCAAAAGCTGTTCCTACATTAATAATAAGATGAGATTGATTGTTTACGAAGTAGCAAATGTAAAAATAAAATATACCTGTCATCTGTACTCCCGGATTTCTCGGAAGAGTGACTACTGGAGGAATCGGAGGAACCTTGCCTCTGTCTACGTTTATCAAACGGAGCATCAGAATGGGCTTGTTTGTTGGCAACATCTCGGTCACTGGTACTGAAAATATACAAAAGAAATTAACTATGATATCATAGTATAACATTATGTCTAACTAAAATTGAAAAGTTGATAAGTCCTAAAAAAGTTAAACAGTTAAATGTGTCTATTTGAATCTTTCAGGACAGATTGATTCAGGGCAATTTCAGCAGGTTAGGTCAACACTTTTGACAATAAAGGCTATAAAGTGAATTATTAATAAAAGCAACACTAAGACAAATCTGCTTTATGTAAAGTCAGCCTCAATATAAGTCAAGTTTGTCAAAAAAAGTCAAACCTTGATCGTTGAACCTTTATCCGTCACATAAGCTGCCTGGAAAAGTCATTATGGTCCTTGAATATGTTAAGTGTTTCAATTAAAGTATTTCAAAGTGGATCAAACTTTAAAGGCTAATTTGATTATTTTTTCATATATTAACATGTAGGATAGTGCCTTTTATCTCATTTTGACAATGAGTACTATTCAGTGAAACTAGTTTCAAATGTGTGTTGTCATGATATTTGCAGCTTATTTATAAAAGTACACATTTCCATGATCTGAATCAGCAAGTGTTTTTTTTTTTTTTTTTAATAATTACATTATGTGTGTAATATAGCATATTCACTTAGCTTAAGTGCCGGAAGTGTGTAAATATATCATGTACAGTTTTTTGCAGACTCATTCATTTTGAAATTATTACTATTATCATTATTATTATATGTCCATCAGAATCTATCAGTAACAATTACTTGATAAAAAGAGATGGGCAATCTTTGTATAGTTTAAGCAGTTTTTTTTATATGTTATCACTTACAGAAATTTGTTATTATCAATTATTGGTCAATCACCATTGAAATAGTCAATATTTTTAAACATATATCTAATTACATGAACGAAAACAATAGCATAATGTCACTCTAAAACCTACATGATAACATATTCGTTGCATCAAATGATTTACTCTATAATAAAAAAACCCCACTTTCTTATCATCATTGATTTCAAATCAGAAGAGAAATTGAAATTTGGTTTGGTTTTATCTCAGTGCAGCTTTGATCAATTAACATTCAGCACTTCCAAAACTTCAGACATGCTCAATTTTAATTTCAGGAACCTCTCCCCTCTCTATACATATAAAATCTCAAACGCTCAGTTTATGTTTGATTTTGTGTATTTTACAAACATCCTGCAAGATGGAAATTTCTAACGTCACAAAAATTCTGATAAATGTCTACAGGGAATTATATATCAAAACTCAGTAACTTACTAAAATTTGCAAAATAATTTTGGACTGTATCAAAGCTTATTCTACAGAAAGAGACTGATGGCATATTGGCTGAGGTATCAGTATTTCAAACCCAGGCAGTGTTAATTCAAACCATACTTTGGTCACAATATTCTATGCTTTCTTGTGTTGCTTCAGTAGTTTGTTACAGGAAGCTGCCTGGAAATTAAATGTTTCAAATAATGTCCCGAAACCTTTCAAAACTATTATTATCACGGATTAAACACCCAAAGAAATTAGGGGCCAGCAGCTTGGAGTTAAAACAACCTAAACCACTTTGAATCCTTTAAATATTTTTTTTGTTGTTGTTTTGGTTTTTGCTATGACATTGTCATTAGGTCAAACTTAACTACTTCCACTGCTGACTAAGTTTAATGGAATTGTCCAGTTTTGAATGTGGAACAGTCCATTTAAAATATAAGGAATTTCAATGTCAAAATGCAAGCAGGAAACATATTTTAGAAAGAATATTGATACTAAACTGTTAAACTGCTTACATTGTGTATTGGATTTTCCAAGCTTTAAATGATGTAGAACAGTCCATTGAAAATTTAGGGATTTCAATATCAAAATGCACAAAAGTAAGCTTCCAACAGTATAGAGCCTACAAGAGTGCATAGAAGCACAAACTGGCCTTAGTCTATGCTGATGGCTAAGGCTTCCACTCTCAGTTGTAACATGTTACAGTTTTGATAAATAACAGTAAAATTCCTTGTCCATAAATTATTAAATCATTATAAGCTAAAATTGAAAGTACAACAAAGAATTAACTTGAAAAGTTGTTTTGTTAATGGAGAAATTTCAGTATATAATGAAATAAAAAAAAATGCAAAAAAAACAAGAACCGGTTGAACCGGGTGATGCTCCACGAATAGGTTTTGGACACAAAAAAGTATACCTCTTGTAGTGTCAAAGTTATGTCCCGGAAAAAGGTTCATAGTGTAAAAATTTAATAAAGGGCAATAACTCCAAAATAAGGCAAAGCAAAGTTATGGTTCTTTTGCACTGCACTTGTATCGAATGAGCTCTATCTACCTACAACGTGTCTTATTAATATGTATTATACTTTCAGAACTATGTCCTAGACAATGTTCAAAGTGTTAACATGAACAAAGGGTATTAACTCCAAAATTAAGCAAGACAGAGTTACTGTAATATTACACTGTACATCTATTTAATGAGATTTATCTACCTACAAAGTCTCTTGCTTGTTGATACCTCTTTCAGTTTCAGTTTCAGAGCTAACCGGACAAAGTTCAAAGCGTAAAATTTCACAAAGGGCAATAACTCAAAAATTTGGCAAGACAGAGTTACAATTCTTTTCAACTGCATTTCTACCCAATTACCCGATGAGATATATCTACCAACAAGATTCATGTTGATTTATCTTTTAGTTTTAGAGTTATGTCCTGGACAAAGTTCAAAGTATAAAAATGAAGAAAGGGCAATAACTCGAAATTAGGCAAGGCAGAGTTACTTTTTTGCACTGCACTTCTACTTTATGCGATATATCTACTCAAAACGTTTCATGTTGATAACTCTTACAGTTTTAGAGTTATGTCCCGAGCAAAATTCAAAGTGTAAAAATGAACAAAGTGCAATAACTCCAAAATAGGCAAAACAGAATTACGATTTTTGCACTTTACTTTTACTCAATGAGATCTATCTACCTACAAAGTTTCATGTTGATATCTCTTATAGTTTTAGAGTTGTATTACGGACAATGTTCATAGTATAAAAATAAAAAGGGGCAATAACTCCATAATAAGGCAAAACAGAGTTACGGTTTTTTTTGTACTGCACAACGACTAAATGAGAATTATATACCTACAAAGTTTCATGTTGATACCTCTTATAATTTCTCATAAAAGTTATGTTCCGGACCAGAATAGCCGACGGCCGGACGGACGGATGTTCTAACGAGGCTACTCTATTGTGCTCTCTATTGTTCTTTTTAGTCACAAAAAAGAAAATAGCCAAATGAAAGCATTATGGAATGAATGACATCAAAGAGAAAGAACAGTAACATAATTATTGTCCGTCTGCCACATTATAATTGTTCCATTAGAGAGGACAGACAAAGCGGCGACTTAATGCTCATCCTTAGGTGAGCATAAAAATGCTTCATCTGTCACTCAGAACATTTTGTTACAAGTAGATACGAATATAAAGATATATATTAGCGCCTATCGTCTGACATTTAACCAAATCTGTATATTTATAAACAAATAATATCTAGTACATGTATTACAATTGTTTTTATCAACATTGGAATACATAGTTCATTCTCTCGTTTTATTAGTATTACCAAACTTATAAACAACATAGTAATGTTTTATTGTAAGGCCTATAATAAAATAGTGTTTGTTTCCACTCTGGCTACCTACCCACAAAAAATCACAGCTGCCTAATTTTTGCAAGGATGTTTTTTAATAAACATGGAAGCAGAGAGTGTTAATGATAATCACATTTTTGTATCTGTCTCATGTTTTCTTTAATTGTTAATATACAAACTGGTATATATTTTGAATAAAACTAAATGATAGTGTACTAATCTTAAACTGATGCTTCACATTCTAAATTTATATGAACTCCATATAATTTTGATAGAAACATTTTCGATAAATGAAATAAATATTTTATTGACCTATCTACCCTTCCAAAACTGGCATGAGTTGCGGGAGGGGAGACAAATATAATTTTAAAGCTTGCTTAAGAGACACACTTACCTACATGTAGATACTTTGTCTAGTTTTTCTTCCGATGTTACTGTTTTAGATTCATCATCACTTGTATGAGCGGTGTTCGATTCTGAAAGTAAAAAAGAAATTTCAATATTTTTTTTACAAAATAAGTAATAGATTAAAGTAAAAATATTTAGTCAGAACCATTACTATACAAGTGGTATTTCCAAAACTTCAGTAATTTGATCGGTACATATTTTCATTACACAGAGAAGCTTACACACATTGTACTAGTGTGTTGGTAACAAAGTCGTGAACGTATCAATAGATATTTTTGACAAAATTTAATTTATTGCATAACATACATGATTAAAGTATTTATAACTAATTAAATGTAATCAAATGTGACTAGTATTTCACAAAAGTAAGAAACTTTATCAATAGTTATCATCAAATGATTATTTAATACTAAATAAACTGCACTAAATACTGACCAATGTTTTGCAGCGACTGTTTTAACTTTTTCAAATTGATAGAGGACGTTATTTCTATATTATCACCAACTATTGTTGACAGAATTCTAGAAATGTTTAGAAGATGGGAATTTATATCCCCCTCCTGGAATAATTTCCATACATGTTCAATACTTCTTATATTTCTACTACGGACGGGCAGAGTTACAGTCCTGTTTCGTGGTTTACAAGACCCTGTCGCTACCTGATTTTGCGCTGAAATGTTGAAATTAATAACATAATGTTACATCTATCTAAATAGTCAACAAGCATAGTGTATACATTGTATTTTTTATTCTTAAAGTTTTATGTGTTTTAAATGATATTTGTTTCTATTCTGACCTAGTTTGAAGTTGTCTATTGAAAGTGCTATTTAATTAAATAATTATCTTAAAAGCATATTATGCCTCAGAAACAAATTAATTTTTACTTCTTTTGAAAGACCAAACATGAATTTTCTAATGTTTAAATAATATGGTTTTAGAGAATATTAGATGTTTGTTACGTGAAGAAACTAGCATTAGATATGAAATGATTTGCCATAATTGTAGAAAAATGTAAACAAAGTAGTATATTGACTTCCATACAAAATACTAATTTACTATAACTGTATTAAACGCTAAAAGCCACAGATGAAAAACATGGCTCGGGTATTTAGCCAGAAACTAATAAATGTACATCAAAATTAAAAGTCTTTTGGGAAATAAAAGATAAAAGCATTTCTAAGGCATAATGGACTTTTAGTGATACTTTATCAGCTTTTAAAAATAAATCATTCCACGTTTACCTGAATTAATATTTACAAATTACGTTATTATAGTGAACATGGGACCAGATGTAAAACTGACATGATCATATTTAAAATCAAATTTTCTTAACATTCTCATTATTGAGCGAAATAACGTTCTAAATGCATTCATACTTCAACAATCCTTTTATGACAGTTAAAGGAAAATCAATATTTGTTTTGTTGCAACAAACATAAAACTCTACCACAGAAGATAAACTTACTTAGATTGTTCTTGATTCGCTGCAAACTATGAGCTGAAACCACCACTGTAAGAAATACTGATATTTCTGTCTGTTTTCTCAAGGCGGTTGTTATGTCTTGAATGCGCTGATCGAATACCTTACTCTCTAGATATTCTAGAAGTCCAAGTAGACCTGTGTATGATTTACACCTTACCACGAATCGAATACAGCATTTGTCTGCAGGGAGAATTGTAGTGCCCGATTGCTTATATACATCAATCATCAGTTCCATTACGGCAAGTGTCAATTCTTTATCATTTGGACAAAGTTTCTTAGCCTGTAGATATCTTTGCACGCGTCCCCGAACATGTTCCTCATTAATTGTTTTAGGTTCAGGTGCACTGTTGACTTCTCGAAGAAGTTCGTTTATTTTCTGAACAAGCATATCCTCAGCAGAAGAAGCAGTATCATCATTTTTGCTTTGGGCATGTAATTTTGTTTCAACATCTTAAGAAAGAAAACAAACAAAATGTTCATAAAATCAATGTTTTTACTATAGATTGTTTTACATGTATGATTGTTTCAGAAAAGTTAATCTGATTAAAAGGCAAAAGTAGAACATGTACAGGTAATTAAAATGTAAACCTGAGAAATTTTTAAAAAAGGATATTCACTTGTTAATATATTACCTTCTTGAATATCTGTATTGCCATTAGTACTTGCTTCAGCTTTTCTTTTCAGCAACACTAAAAATCAGGTTTCAGAATAAAAATACCATTCCATAATGAATAATGATACTCAATATCATAAGTGAAGATATTTCTTGATAAAATAACTATGATTTTTTTATTCTTTTATTGCATCATTAGTGTTAACATTGTTTAACATATTAACACGCTGTAATTGTAATTGGTTGTCTGAGAATTATTATTATATTTTATTTATCTGAAGTCATTCTATCAAACCAGTTTTTTTTTTACAAATACAATTTTTTGCTGGCAAGTAGCAAGAGGTATATTAGGAAAAAAGCTCCAAAAATTCCAAATCCATTATTTTGTGTATCTAAAATTTTTCTTTAGCTCGCAGGAGTCTAATGTAAAACATTGTAAAATACAAGAGATTTGTTTTATTACAATAGAAAATGAGATAATGAGAACAAATAACAAGATTAATTGATAAGTGTAATTTTTTGAAAAACTTGCTTTTACATTTTATTGATAAATATACTTGGTTTAGTTTTTATTTTTATGGTTGCGTCAATTAAATCAAAATTTAAATTGCCTTATATAAACTATATAAACCAGAGTAATCTTGTAATGTATCTTTTTCAATCACCATTTAGTTAAAAACATTATTATTATGCACACGGCCTTCACAAATAAATAGATAAAATAATGGCATTTTTGTAATAATCTGCTTTAAAACATGAGCATTAAAATGTTACCCTTTAGCATTTGTCTTAATTCATCTTGTCTCATTTCCATTTTGCAGAAATAGCTACGGTTCTCTTCAGCCAATTCCTTTTGTTGCACATTCGTAACTAAACGCATGCAATTTAAGTGATAGAATCCATTTTATAACTATTTTTTTAAAATTTATTTAAGTCCTGTTTTAACAATTAAACATGATTACATACATGTTTTAAGTTCTTAACATACACATTGCATAAAGTAGCAATTTCACAAGAGGCTATGTGAGTATCGTTTGATATATAGGGGCAAGTTTCAATTATCGTTAAAAGTGTATTACCTATCAATTTTAACTTGCTTCAATCGCCAATTATCTAAAAAAAATGATTATAATGGACTGAGCTTTCATAACTAAATAGATAAAGTAATGGCATATTTTAAATAATCCGCTTTTAAACATGAGCAATAAAATGTTACCTTCTACTTTTTGTCTTATTTCGTCTTGACTCTGCTCCATTTGGCACAAACGATGATGGTTCTCCTCAGCCAATTCCTTTTGTTGCACAGTCGTACCTAGAAAAATAAAATCGATTTTATAGCTGTTTCGTGTGGTAACTTAACTATTTAATGTGAGTATATTTTGATATATAGAGACAAGTTCCATTTATCTTTAAAAGTTTATGACGTTTCAATTTGTACTTATATAATTAACTGTGAACTAATTAGTTCAGACTTTCGGTTTTTCAAATCATCATTTCGTCACATAAAATATCATTACACAAAAAGTCTACTTTTTCACAAAAATATGTTGTTATTTTAGAAATTTAGATGAAAAACTTATTTATTTTAACCTTGTATCTTCTTGATTTCTTTGCATATGTCATCTAATTTAATACTGTTGGCACCAAAGTCAGCTTTAATTAATGTCAAGAGTTCGGTTTGAAATTCTTTGAAGTCATCCAATGTTGAAGATATTTCTATAGGCCCAGACTTGGTTGATTTAATTAACTTTTGACATTCGTCATGGTATTGGCGATCAATTCTTGACGAGAACTTTAGAAGAACGATTATCAGATCACTTCTATATTCATTATATTCACCTTCAGATAATGCAAGTGATGCACTGTGTCCTTGAATTTCATTTCTAAAATCGCGAAGAATCCTTATATCAGCTCGTTCTTTAGAAGTAAGGCTGCTTCTAAATATATTCAGAATTACTAAACACAATAGTGATGTATCCCAGTTATCTAGGTCATCATTGACAGGTCCTGCTGATGGAAATATGCGATCGTATTGACTGTCATTCCGTATTAGTTGACGAAGTTTGCCACTATTGTTCAACAGAATTTGTGATAATGGTTTTCCAACGTTTTGGGCTTCACGTTTTAAAATCCCTTTCAACACCAATGGTCCTCCTTTTCCCAACAACAGAATATACCTCAAATACCTTTCGTTGTCTGAAGTTGCCATAGCTTCAGCTAGAAAATAAACAAATATTCGTATTTATTTATTTATTTATTTATTTACAATGAAAATAAACATGTTGTATGAACGTTTATATAATACTGACTTCAAATGCGATGCTATATTCTTGAATTCATAGTCTCATTGTTAGCCAACAATCAATACATTCTTGACATACATGTATACATTAATGTGTATAAGAAACTTAGTTTTCAGTTTTCATAACCTTATGGTCGTTTCTGCAAAGAATTGTAACGTATTATATCTATGTAATTTAATTAACATGAATAGTGTACGTAAACAGAATATAATTTTCCAGAACAAAACATTACGTTGTTATCTTAAGACGGTGATATGGGGATGTAGACGATATAGCTTACATTTACCACTACGGCCCGATCAAACTGAGTCTGCAGCACTTTCAATTTCGCTGTTTTGGGCGATCTGAGGACTCGGTCTTTTCTAGTATAAAGTATTTTTAACTATTTTTTTAAAGTATTTGAATCAAGAAATCGTCACCTGAGTGGTAAAAGGTCGTAACTAACATTTTGCCGAAAATCAGAGTTTAACATTTCTGTGATACACATAGCAATGTGCATATTCTGTAAAAATATATTGGCTTTATTCCATTTATTGACTTTGTTATTGATTAGAAATCAAAGGCCATAACAACTATTTTTAAGTTTTAATGAGCGGTAAAATGTCTAAAGTGAAACTAAATTAACGGTAAAAGGGCAGATTTGACAAATATGCCCTTTTCATTCTCAACTTTTTTTGCAAAACGTATTCAAAAACTGATGTATAAGGTAGTATTTGCCAATTACGCCCCTTTCCTTCTTAGCAAAACACTCAATGTGAAACATATGCCCCCTTTATCTGAACAAATTAGCAGTGCTATAGATTATAGAGAATATCATTTCAGTACATGATAACATAAGAAAATATTTCAGTACAGCAGAAGTGTTTGTGATAACATAAGAATTTCACTAATATCATAAACTTTCCACGTTCATTTGTTTATGTTCACAAGAAGGAATCATGGACGAAAGAAAATCAGGTTTGTACAATTTCATTAAATGTTTGCAAAATAATTAATTTGTAAAATAGTTTATATCATATTTTAGAGACAATATTCTAATAATAGTAAATAACCAGTATTCTAATTCTGCAAAATAAGTTGTTCAGTAGTGTGTCTCGCATGTTTATGTGCATGTAACTTAATCAATTGTGTCCAGGTACATATTTCTTTGATTACATTTAACTGCCAAATTATAAAATTCGTTAAGTAATAAGTATACGCTTTCTTTGTAGGAAGACGTATATTTTGAATGGTCAGATGATGAGATGTACTTTGATATTAATGTGGCTGTCAATAAAGGTAATTGTCTTAAACAATGTGGAAGAAAATAAACTTTGTGACTTGAAATGCTGATACAATATTACTGTAATTGTCTATGGAAGGTGGGAGTTTATGTGAGTTGCTGATTAAACTAAGTCATCATCATCATCAAGCATACTATAAAAGGACCAAGAAAGTCATGTATATTATATGAAATCTTACCACTGCATCTATGTGATTATTATTCAGTAAATGCATTTAATTGAATTCAACACATGTTTTATTCCATATTCTTCATTTCAGACGAGAAACATGAACATGAAATACATGGTAGTAGCAAGGAGCAGCAGGTGAATCAATCTGAAATACAGCCTAGTAACCAGGATCAACATGTGAATGATGAAGAAAACCAGGCTAATGACGAACGTGTGAATGAAAATGAAACATGTGCAAGTAACGTGGAGCAGCACATTAATGAATATTGAAAACAAGCTAATAATGAGGTATAATACATGAATGAAAATGAGATACACGCTATTAATATGGAACAACACATTAATGAACATGAAATAAAGGCTAGTAACGAAGTACAACTTGTGGATGCAAATGAAAAACAGACAAGTAACAAGGGAGAATAATTATGTAAAAGAACATAAAAATGAAATACAGGATCAAACGTGTATGACAATGAGATACGTACTTGTTACGATGATCAACACAGGAACAAACATGAAAAGCAGACCAAAAACAAGGGACAACATTTGAATGAACATGAAATACAGGATAGCAGCAGCGGACAAAACGTAAATGAAATCAATGGAAAGCTTCACAGAGACAACCAACATCAAATTGATCAGGAGACTAGAGTGAACTTCGTTTATACAAATTCTTCTGATGACGATATACCACTTTCAAAGTTACTGGGATATAATTTTAAAAGGAAAAGAAAGGAAGTCTGTTCGACGAAAGTTAATCGATACAGATACTGAGTATTCTGATAATTGTAATCAGGACATATCATATGATCTACAAAAGAACATATTAAATTCTACAGATTCAGAGACAGAAGAGTTCCAAAAAATAAAACAGAGAAAAAGGAGACAGAAGAAAAGGAAACAAATTACTTGTTGCAGAAACAAATCGTGGAAGAAAAAAAGCATCTACATTTAAATCAAAGTCCAAGAAATTAGTGAACAAACGAAAGAAGGAAAGTCCCCTACAAGATCAATAAAACTTTTAAAAGAAAGAAGAAAAAAATCAAGAAACTAACAAACACATGATGAATTTTAAACAAGAGGGCCATGATGGCCCTGAGGTCGCTCACTTGTATATAGCCCCCCCCCCCGGGCCAATTTTTACCCGAGGGCTTTTATTTGTTTATTTGAACAGACTTGGTAGACACCCATAAGAAGATGTTTCATGCTAAACATCTAAGTTCTAGCTCACTGGGTTTTTTAAAAGAAGATTTTTTAAGTTTTTACTATACACATAAAGTTAAAAACAATGACACCCCTGGGGCAGGGCCAGTTTTGACCCCGGGCTTTTATTTGAACAAACTTTGTAGAAATTTACTAAAAGATGTTTCATGCTTAATATTTAAACTCTAGCTATATGGGTTTTTTCAAAGAAGATTTTTAAGTTTTTGCTATACACAAAAAAGGAAAATCAATGACCCCCGGGGCAGGGCCAATTTTGACACTGGGGCTTTTATTTGAACAAACTTTGTAGACACTGATTAGAAGATGTTTCATGCTTAATATCTAAACTCTAGCTATATGGGTTTTTTCAAAAAAGATTTTTAAGTTTTTGCCATACACATATAAGGAAAATCAATGACCCCCGGGGCGGGGCCAATTTTGACCCCAGGGCTTTTATTTGAACAAACTTTGTAGACACTGATTAGAAGATGTTTCATGCTTAATATCTAAACTCTAGCTATATGGGTTTTTTCAAACAAGATTTTTAAGTGTTTGCCATACACATATAAGGAAAATCAATGACCCCCGGGGCGGGGCCAATTTTGACCCCAGGGCTTTTATTTGAACAAATTTGGTAGACACCCATTAGAACATGCTTCATGCTAAATATTTTAGCTCTAGCTCTTTGGGTTCTTTAAAAGAAGTTTTTTTTTAAGTTTTTACTATATGCATATAGGGAAAATCAATGACCCCCTGGACGGGGCCAATTTTGACCCCAGGGCTTTTATTTGAACAAACTCGGTAGACACTCACTAGTAGATGTTTAATGCCAAATATCTTAGCTCTAGCTCTTTGGGTTCTTTAAGAGAAGATTTTTTTTAAGTTTTTACTATATGCATATAGGGAAAATCAATGACCCCCTGGGGCGGGGCCAATTTTGACCCCAGGGCTTTTATTTGAACAAACTCGGTAGACACTCACTAGAAGATGTTTAATGCCAAGTATCTTAGCTCTAACTCTTTAGGTTCTTTAAAAGAAGATTTTTTAAGTTTTTACTATATGCATATAGGGAAAATCTATGACCCCCTGGGGCGGGGCCAATTTTGACCCCAGGGCTTTTATTTGAACATACTTGGTAGACACTCACTAGAAAATGTTTCATGCCAAATATCTAAGCGCTAGCTCTTTGGGTTCTTTAAAAGAAGATATTTAAAGATTTTTCTTTCGGTTGCCATGGCAACCAGAGTTCTGCATGGAATTAAATTCTTTGAACAAGTTTTAAAGGTGACCACCAAAGGAACATTCCTGTGAAGTTTGGATGAAATTGGCTCAGTGGTTTATGAGGAGATGTCATTTAAAGCAAAAGTTTACGGACGGACGGACGACGGACGGACGGACGCCGGACGAAAAGCGATCACAAAAGCTCACCCTGTCACTTTGTGACAGGTGAGCTAAAAAGCAGTGAAGTGTAGCAAGACAATGAGCCTAGATTAAACCAACTGTTAGCAGTTAATATAAGAAAACGAGTTCAAATTCCCGCAGAATGAAACTGTTTCTTTGCAGCTGTTGCTTAGAGTGTTGACAACAATTTATGTAAGGACGTAGATACATTTCGAAATTCGATATGTGATCACATTCAACAAAATAAGGACATATACTTATCTTTCTTGACAAGTATATCATAAAGCGAGAATCAAAGTGATGTTTTTGAAAGAGATATAAGGATAATGAGACGCAATGGTCACTGGGATGCAATTCTAGCCGATTGCATGTCTCTAGCTGTTGCTAACTATTTAAATTGTAAAGTGCGGATATATTCAAGCTCGACTTCGACTCAATTTATTAATGCTAAGCCATCAAACTGGAAACAAGATGGACATTACCAGCAAATTGAAATAGCGTATATTGCATTCCGGAATAATGAGCATTATGATGCAACCAAACCAGTAATTATACAACCAGACAATACCGAACATCCCCCTTACAATACACCAAGAGTTAATTCAATGGAACATTGTAGGAATGAAAACCATATTCCTGTTACAGCACACAAACGTACAGACTAGCTATAACAGCCCTAAACAGACGCTAACAATCTGTAAAAGAAAATGATATAAAAACTACTATGGAATCTCACTACACTAGAAAAAGTTCTAAGAAACAATATGTAGCCCATGGTAAAGCATAAGTGGTAACTCTACAAGGATTGGTGTAGTTCAAAAGGATATGTCCCGGTAAAAGAATCGAAATATA